TTTGAGCTCAGTGGATACTCACACAGCTTCATTCACAGATGCTTAAACCATAAGCCTACAAACACCGAGCCGATGCCAAATAAAAGCAAGGCGGTCGTTTCACCGTATATGAAGAACATATCCGAAATGACTGCTAGATTGCTCAAACAACATCGCATCACGGTTGTTCACAAGCCAGCCGCTACTTTAAGAAAAATACTATCAGAACCAAAGAACAAACGGTAAGCAGAAAAACAAACAAACGCCGTGTATAGAATAAATTGCAAAAGTTGTGTAATGAACTATGTGAGACAGACAGGAAGATATCCACAAGCATACAAGAACATCAGAGGGCCTGTGTAAAACATGCATCGTCTCTTGTCTCAGTGCATGTGGATGAGGAGGGAGATAGCTTCAATTGGGACAAAACGATGATTTCAGCCCAAGCAGCGATACAGAAAGGAAGAGAATTCCTAGAAGCATGCGTTTCTTTAAGAATTCGATTATCATGCGCATTGACAACGATCCCGTGTACCAACAGCTCAGAACGGAAGATCTCCGGCGAATAGAAAGACACAGTTCAGCCGCGGAAGAGAATGAGCAAAGAACACGAGGTGGAAAACTAAACTGCCACTTTCGAAAGTTAGCTGTCCGTCGTTCAAGGACGAACGATTTAACAAGTAGGATTGTAAATTGCAATGACGATGCCACCTCGCATGGTTGCGAGACATCTGAAATCAATTTATCTAACTCGGCGAACTGATCAACAGATGATCAACCAACCCGGGCTACCAGGCTTGAAAATAAGTCTTGCGAATCCACATGTGCCTTATAATCGAACTTCACGCCTTCCGGAATTGCTAAAATGATTCGCGTTGCACTGTAACAAGCTCTTCAGGAATTGAGTGGTAACGGGAGCAAAGCCCTCTAGCTCAGGGGATTCCTGTTTGAACAAACTCTCTAGCGTACGATTTGGTCTCATGCTGCAAATGAGACCGCCAAAGTGCCTTTCCATAACTTTTTCGATGCAGGCTGCGATCCCGACGACCTTGTATAAACCGGATTTAAGGCATCACAATAGCAAGTTGAAACATATGTTGAAATCAGAGAACGGTGAGGACTACCTTCTCATTTTCAAATATGAATCATGCCCGTGCACGAACAAGAAGTCCGATTGGCAAATCCCTTTTTAATAATTCTCATCAAGCAACTAGAGGCGATGCACATTCAATAGGTAGTTCCTATCTAGTGGAATATACCACTGGTAAATTGATGATGTCCACTCCAGAACCAATGCTTGCTGATGTTCCTTTAGTAAAGCTGGAACGTGGACCTCTGCAGCAGGTTATTTAAATGATTAAATTATACTGAAGGTACTTAAATAATACATCAATTATTTGTGATTCAAACACAGACGTCGCCTGTTTATTGGCCTAATTCAACAGTGCACACTCATGATTAATTTCACCAGTGAGATGGAAAGCAAGGGAAAACAGGTTTTGTTTGGACTTTACGCTGAAGCGACGGCTCTTTAGAGAGAGGCGTTTTCAGAAAGATATATGGATCGGGCAACACGCTTTAAGTTTTACACATTTGCGTCATAAACGGAACTTCGTCCGTTGCCTGAATCATACTATCATCAGAATCTGTAATCAAGAGATGCCGAATGAAGAGAAAAATTGTATCTTCAGAATGTTACAAGAGAACAGCTACCCTGTTCCCTTTATCAGAAAGCACGCAACGACCCACGTGCACCTGGAAACTATTATAGCCGTACCAAAAAAGATGTGTTTCACTCATTTCTATTATAAGGAGATAACGCCCTTGACTTGCTGTATAGAAGACCCTCAACCGCAATGGCCAAAACCAACCCAGCCGCCCATTCGTGTGTGCTTGCACAGACTGCACCTTTTGCCACACAACGTTTGAAGGACAAACTCACGGTCTAGTCTAAACCTTAGATTATGTATCAAGTTATTTCCATCTGTGGTTCAAGACAACTTGGACACATGACCAGGTGTTCGTCAAAATGGGTAGCATAACACTGATCAAGTTTACTACGAAGAAGCAAGGCTAGAAGCTTTAACAGCGCTATCAAAGAGCATTTTCCCCTAAGTGGACAAGAAATCTGGACAGCCGATATCTTGCAAGCGCACTACTCCGTGCCCCCAGGTTATTCTAAAGCGATCAGAAAGTGTTCGTTTAAGACGCTGAGCTAATGGTCGTCAAACTGATCTAGACTGAAGTGTGCAAGCAAAAAAGTGCGTACAAGTCTGCATCTTGCTTTGGCTCTGCGGCGAACCCCCGATGTCGAACAATGATAGTGTAACGTCGGCTGGGAAGACTGTCATCAGTGAATGGACCTAAGTATACATTCGATTTGCTGGTGTCGTTCAGACAGCTGCAGCCTTGAACCCAGCTTTCGGTAGCATACTGTGTTGCCTGATTTTTTATCCCAATTGTAGAGGTCTGATGAGGATTTTAGCATGGGTTTAGTTCATGAGGTTGGTATGTGCCACTCCAATGAGCGGGGGCCTTGACATGGAACTCGTCAACTGACGGAAACCGTCTCCGAAGTGACTCAATGGAGAAGCTAGTGGCACTCATTTATTCATACATCATATCCCGACATTCCATCATCTGAGGTGACCTCGATAAGTTTTGGTCCCCAAACCAGCTTTTCTTCGAGAGCCACAAGAGATCCTTCAGCAGCTGTCAGTAATACGCGTGTTGTCATGGGGAGACACGTAGGCATAGGGTGAGACACCGGAGGAAGGGCAGTTAATGTCGTCAGCCAAAAACTTTGGCATTGAAAAACAAGCCGAATGTGTTCAGAGAGGTTTGGAAACAATCGGTTCCAAGTATCTTTCAAGAATTTGAAGCCGAATGTGTAGTTACAAACCGATCGAGAAAAGGATACCACAGGGCACCGTAAAAGTCAGTAGGAAAGATAAATAAGGCTCAGATATGCATATGCAATGAGAATGACTTTGCAGATTGGCCAAGGGAAACACGATTAGGAAAACAACCAAAACGCTGAGTGGCACAAGCCATAGTAAGAGGAAAATAAACGCGTTAAAAATTCAAGAAAAAAGACACGACATATGTAAATCAGAACTATTTTGCACGAAAAAGGAAAAAAAGCACTATCGATAGCGAAGTCAAAACAGCCTTATCTAGCAACATGAAAAGATAAGGTAGAAAGCGATTTCAAACAGTTTCACTAAATCTAAAAGCCTAAACGTGAGTCAAAACAAAGTGTGATAATAAATGCAATGAGAGAGGGAGCATTCCTCAGGGCGCGGAACGTAGAGGCAAATGTTTGTCTTGTACATGGCTGCGAAGGAAGGGGAACCAACCCCGGCTAGACTGACCAGAGCGGGTGAGATAACTGCACAGCTGTCTCCAGGAAGAAAACGAATTCGCTTCCGAAGCCAGGGCGAGCTTGGCGTGACGAACGGTCATTATGCAACCGGTGAGCTGGACAAGAAATTGAGTGGAGAAGAGAGTTTGTGTGTCCGTAAAGAATTGCAAATACACAATCTGTTTAGCGCACGTACAAGAATAATGGCACAGCATGGGACAGGGGTGGAACCAAAACGAAAACGCCTTAATGAACGGATGCAACAGATTTCTTCGACGGAAAACGAAACATTCAAGTTAATTAATCAGTTAATAGTGTAGAAGTAATTAGAACCGATGCTTCGCTGCCGCACAACCAAAATGACCTAAGAGATAAAGAATAATAAGAGGGGGAGAAAGGAGACTTAGCGACCCATCTAAATGTCCTAAACACCCAGCGTCAAGGCGTCTACACCATGTCAACAACGTGCCGTCACAAACAGCTGGATATCGTGCAGAAATAAGGCAGCATTGATGAAACAACTACTTCGCGGATTTAACTGTTCCGTGTCATAACCAGCCCGTAAGCTGCGGATAACTCAGTATGACACATTTTACACAGAAAATCCAACTAGAAGGCGACAGCAAAGTTGCTACTGGTGTCGGATGTGAGCTATGTGTCTTAGGTTCTCAAACAAAGCCCATGCGAAGTCGTGTGAACACCAGCGTGGTGCGCCATCAGTCTACATAGCGGCGAGACTCGATATCATGGACATTTTGCGCATCCCTGGTCAATTTGTGGCCGATGTATTGTTGATCTGTGTAATTGATTGATCACGCCGATTCAGATATGACTAGTGAAAATCAAGAACGAACATTTATTCGTTTGTTAGTATAATATACAGGTTAGAAGAAATGGCCACTGCAATGACAAAGCAGTCAGTTGCAAGGAATACTATACTGTTGGAAAGTGCTTGCAGATGACAAGCAACGACTCTGGATCACCAAAAATAGCACCGGAATACCGGTGTTAGAAAATGCGAGACAGACCAGTAAGTGAAACAAAAATAGGGACGGTAAAAATTGCTGCACCAAAGACAGAAACGACAGTACTGTGATGAGAGCATGACAAGATCACCGATACCAGCGAGGAATAGATGGTTGGAGAGCCAAATGAACGGATAATTCCGGTGTCCACGTGTGTCTCATAGCAAATTTGGTGGCGCTGCAATTAGACCTGAAGTCTCTCTTGATAAAGTCCTTTCGTTCGTACGTATGCCGATCGTCTGTTCAAGCGTGAGTTGCAGACATCGTACCTTGATAGGTGCAAGCACAATGCCGTACAAGAGAGGCGTGGAGAAAATGAAGTGTATCCGTTGTCTGATAATTTTGTCGCTGAAACTGCGAACAGTCACGAAACCCTTGCATCTAAAGAGACTATGAGGGACCTGAATGGTACTATATGTAGTTCCATTCACCCACCTCAAACCTTGTGTAAACCCGAAGGAGTAAAGTTGGGAGACAAGTGCACGAGATCTAATGCTCCAACGGATCCGCCCAACATTCCTTCAACACACACAGCATTGATGTAAACCAGGAGGGAGGCGGAACATGTGTACGACGTGCACAGCTGATGACTAGGTTGCAGTCGGTCTTATGATGCGGCCACTCGTTCAGCCTAGCACTGTTGCATGGACTGCGTATCCGCTCACCTTCAAAAACCAGTGACAGTTACTTGGAGCCAGTAATGGAGATTGCAACGGTGGACAAGATAGGTAGGCACCGCAGTGGTGTCCACATCGCACGTAGTCAGACTCCGAGGATTAAAGTCAAAGCACATTTCCTCGTCAGTCCCAGATTTGGTACCCGCACGACGAGACTGCAAGACCAGCATATTTGACCAATGCATTTACGAATATAGGTTGAAGTACATATGCGTATTCGTCTGGAGGCATAAGAAGGGAACTCGAGTTTACGATACAACTCACACGTGTATGGACCACCGTAGATTTCGGGACAAAAGGATACCGGCACGTATGACTGTAGATGGAATGCGCATGCTCACCGCTCACGGCTGGAAACAATGAGTTTGCTCAATAAATCGCAGGATGGACGCTTTAGTGGTTTCCACAACTAGGGGACAGTGAGCCAACTGTCAACACTCCGCAGGTAATGCTAACATCTGTAACTTCATATGCGACATCCAGCTATTGCCCCCAGTAGAAATCAAAGCGTGCCAACAGAACAGACGGGAAAAATTACTATGAGTTAGTAAACGGAGAATAGTGACTAACACTACAACATATTTTGCGGAGATGGGATTCAGGGATAGGAAAAGCATACTCGATCTCAGGGTTCAATGGTTAACATGGATACGGTTAAAGTGCTACGAGTGGCAGAAAGTAGATTTATTTAATCTTTAAACAAGGCACGCACAGATGCCACGATGTAAAAACCTGAAATGAACGTGAACAAAATAGTCGACCCATTTTTGTAGTAAGGTTACCAAACAAAGAAAGCCTATTAAGATAAAATAAGTGGAGAGCGCTCATATGGGTAAAAAAGAAGCTTGATGATGCTGGAAAGTGGAAAAACACGCCTCAAGCAAAACTAGTTGTGGCATGGTGAACAGAAGGAGGCTTCCAGTTGAGGCTGGAAGTGCGCAGTCACCATCATCAATAACATCACCCAGTTGAACTGATGCTTCGCTGTCATACAACCATGAGGACCTAAGAAATAAAGAAAAAGAAGAGGGAGAGAAGGGGGAATTACCTGGACACCTTAATGCCCTAAGATAACAAGAAGGGTCAAGGCGCCTACACCTTGTGTTAACAACATACCGTCACAAACACCTAGCTATCGTGCAAAGATAAGGCAGCATCGGCCAGACAGCTTTCTCGCGGCTTTCACTGCCCCGCCACATAATCAGCCATTACGCCGCAGGTAACTCAGCACCAAATACACCTCAAACAGGCAGTCCAACTAGGAGATGGCAGCAGACGCGCCAATGACGTCGGCTGCGAGCCATGTCCTGTAACGCTTCGAGCCACGCAAAAGGCGAGTCATGTGGACACCAACCCGAAAGGCGAGACGGACCAACGGCAACAACTTTGGTTGTCAGTGACTTCATTTCCCGCTGCCAAGTCAACTGTTGTCCATCTCGAGCCTTGAGCCACCCTACACCCGGCAGACTAAATAAGGCCCTCCTCGGTAAGGGGTGATGTAATCTCAAGTGTCCATCAACTAGATAAAGAGCCAACAGAAAACCACGGAGATCAGTGGATAAGAGACAGTCGTCGCGTTATAATCGTCGTGGCATAGTGGTTGAAGGTGAGCAACACACTTCAGCTAATATGCCGCAGGAAGCATGGAACGTTTTGGCAAAATAATAAATAATAAAAAATAATAATGTGTCAGCTGTACGCCGTAACGGCGCTTCGCTGCCGCGCGATCACCACCAGTCGCGCGCGGGCTGAGTATACCGCGAGGACACCCACCCCAACGCGGATTCGAACCGGTGACCTTATGGATGCAAAGCAAACGTGCAGACCACTCGGCCACCGGCCGACACGTTTTGGCAAAAAGTAGAACAAAACAATGTTAGTTTGTTTCTCACACGCCGATTTTTCTCCTTTTTGGCGTTTTCAATGCTTAATGTAGTAAACATGTGAATCAATACAATAATGTACACAATTCTTCCACTGATTCCGGTTGCGGGCTATGTCTTCAAGGGTGCTAAGCCGCTGGAACTCCTCATCTTTGGGTCCCCATCCTAGAAGACGTACGGAGCAAACAGCGGCTAGACATGACGTCAGCGGTTTTATGTGCTGCCGCCATGTAGAACGCTGACCACCACGTCGCCTCCAGCCAGGTTCTTGAAGAGAGAATAGAGCGCGACGCGGTAGACGGTCAGGTGCCATGGGTAGGACGTGACCGAGCCATCTCTACTGGAGCAACAAAACCAGTTTGGTGAAGAGAATATTTGCATTCCCGAAGATGCGAAGTCGAACGTCATTACTATTAACTAGATGTTGCCACTAAACACGAGCAATCCTCCATAAGCAACCAGTAACGAAGACAGAAGAACGACGCATGTCTTTCACGCGAAGCGGCCACGACTCGCACCAATACAACAATACTGAGCGAACTGATGCGCTGCAAACGCGGCCCTCTAGCGAGAATGAGACATCGCGTCAGATTGACAAATGCTGATCGATCTTTAGCGATGCGGAGAGAAACTTCTTTGTTGATAATGCAGTCAGCAGAAACCCAGCGCCCAAGGTAGACAAAACTATCTACCTGTTCAAGTTGTGCACCATCGAGAGTGAGCACGGGAGCGGGTGAAAGCCAATCCTACAGCAGAACTTTACACCTCGATGGAGCGAAGCTTATGCCATATTTAGATGCTTCAACCGCCAAACGATCCAGAATGAGTTGCATACCCTGAAGATCGTCACCAAGTAAGGCGATATCATCAGCATAATCTAAGTCGGTCGCGCGCTCACCCGGTAGAAGCTCTAGGCTAAAATGTTGGAAACCTTCTAGAGCATTCGACAGAACGTCTTCGATTGCGAAGTCGAAGAGGAATGGGGACATAGGGCAACCCTGTCGCACACCGCTATTGACAGCGAATTGCGAGGAAAGCTTGTCATAGATCCTCACTCTGCCGGATGTATGAAGGTAAAGTGCTCGTAAGGGGTGACCAGGCATAGGTAGTAAGTGCCCAAGCCAACGCAACTTATTCAGTGCTCTGTTACTCTAAGAAACTGGCTTGGTTATCACTGCTTATTACTCGCCTGCGCATATCATCGTTGCGGACACGCTGGTGCAACCCGACACCAGCAATGCTCCGCAAACAACGATGATCAGAGAGTTGAAGAATCCTCAGATCATCAGACCGAAGGGGCCAAGTTTCACTCCAAAGAGCAGAGCAGACCTCACTATGGCCTTGTAAACACGACCTTTCAGACGGAGGGAAAATCCATTCTGGCGCCAAAGATGCCGCAGTTTCAAGAAGACAGTTTAAGCTTTTGCAAGCTTTTGTAAGTGTGCAGTGCCCAACAATGTTGGTGATAAAATAAAAGTTAAAAGCTGGTGGTTTGCAAAAACAGAAACGAATTACATCGAGGATGAATTAG